GCGCCATGAGCGAGTCCTTGTCCGACAAGGTCACGGAGCTGCAGTCGACCGTGAAGTTTCAGCTCAAGAAGGTCCTCTGCCTGGGCACCAGCGTGGGCCACATGGATATGAACGAGGATCAGCTCCGCCAGAACGTGACCATGTCGCTGAACTTCTTGGTCTCGCTGCTCAAGAAGAACTGGCAGAACTTGAAATCGGCTTACATCAAGTCTACCATGGGAGCACCTCAGCGCATCTATTAGAAAAGAAATCCCATATCCTTATTTCATTGGTTTAAGGGTTTAAAACTACGTTTTTTAAAATTAATTGGGGATGTACTTCCTCTTATTATGTTGTCATTTCATTTTTGGGCAGGTAATTTAGCGCCTTATTCCCTTTTTTTTCCCCCTCACTCTTTTTTTTTCTTCCCTTGTGACACTTTAAAACGTTTGTGTCTCCGCCTTTTTTGAGTTACAGTTCGAGAACACATATCCGTGTAGTAAAAAAATATACATCAGGGATAATCTCACTTCTACACATGCCGGTGACCCAGGAGCAGTTGCGGAAGCGCGCGGAGCTTGTTCGTACCGGTGGTAAGGGCTCTGTTCGCCGTACGGTGAAGGCGCACCACAGGAGCTCGGGAGATGACAAGAAGGTGCAGGGCACCCTCCGCCGCTTTGGTGTGACGCCATTCAATGACATCGATGAGGCCACCTTTCAACTTCAGGATGGTTCTTCATTTTATTTCTCAAAGCCCAAGGTACAGGCCTCAGCGCAAACGCAGTGCTTTGTAGTGTCTGGTGACTACGAACACAGGAAATCTGAGGACGAGGAATCGAAGAAGGAGTAAGTTAAGCCTTTAGTCTTCAAAGGGTTAATACTTCAGATTACATCTCTATTTATTGATACGGTGTTTTGGGGGACGATAAAGATTGTTTTTCTTTTTACTTTTACCTTCTATGCTTTCTAATAGGAAAAATGTGATACTCATGTAAATCTCATTTTTCCTTTATTTTACAGTGTGTTTGTGTGATCTAGTTACAGAAGCGAATAACTTTACACTTCTACTCATCCTTTATGAATTTCTTATCGTTCGCTTAGTCACAAACAAAAAAAATCAAGTCCAACAGTCACATTTAGATTTAGAAATAACATTGATAATAAAGACTGTTTATTATCGTTTACCCTGAGGTTGTGGAGCCATTGCGCATACTAATAGCCGTTGTCCTTTTAAAAAGGTAGATATAACTAAAGAAAGATTCTATTTACCACAATGTTCACTGAAAACAATACTAATATCGAGGTAAAGCAGTATACCTATAGGTCTGGTGCGGTTTATAAAGGGACATTTGATGGTGTCAAGCGGAGTGGCAGAGGCTACTGGCGTCACCCCAAAGGTGAAGTCTATGAAGGTGAATACAAAAACAACAAAGAAGAGGGCCTTGGCGTGTACAAATTCGAAGGAACTGGTAAGATCTATATCGGACAATGGTTGAATGGCAAGATGAACGGCTGTGGGGTTTACTTTTTCAATCTAGAGCACACCGTTTACTTTGTTGGAAACTACGTAGACGACCAAAGACACGGCCTTGGGCACTACAGCTATGAATCGGGCATCTTGACGACCCAGCAGTGGGATATGGGCCAGTTAATCCACGAGGAGTCGTCGACTCCGCTTGAGCAGGTCAACGTCGCGATTCAGATTCAGAACTTCATATCGGAGGTGCGTGTGGTTGCGCCTCTCGAGCTGGGTGAGGTTCCTTCCTCAAAGATACACACCTTTCAGTTTTCTTACGGGGCCACGTACACCGGGCAGTACCTCGGGACTAAAAAACATGGCCAGGGGTACTGGCTACACCCAGAGGGTGATAGCTACGAGGGCCAGTTCGAAAACAACAAGCACAATGGGTGGGGGGTCTACATCGTTGGCCGCAGCGGGAAGAAGTTTGTGGGCTCCTGGCGAGACGGTAAAATGAATGGCATCGGCATTTACTTTTTCAACCCACAAGAAACCGAATATTACATCGGCAACTATCGTGCCGACCTCAAGCATGGTTGTGGGATGTATCACTTCGCAGAGAGTGGGCATGATAGACTGCAAACATGGGAGGATGGGGTTCTCAAGGAGGAATTAGGCATGGATGAGTTGTTTGTAGAGGCGTACATCAAGGCTATTCATAAACTTATAGAGACGGTTGGGTCATATGCACCCAATTATGAGCCCATTGCATTTCCATGAGGACTTACACGGCTATCATTCCTGTGTGTGACTTCTTCCCCGTGAGGGTTGGTTGCAAGGGTGGGTATAGGTTGGACCGATCAGTCTACTTTTTCCATTGTTACTAATGTGAGAATCTGTGTCAAAGCTACTTTTAACGCCTTGAATTCGTTTCATTTACTAAATCAAAAGCCACCATCATGGTGATTTTTATATTCTTCGCACTTACTTGGCGTTGTACCTTAATTATCACTTACGCATGTATTCAACTTGCTAACAAGTTTGTATTCATCTCAAAAACATGGTTTTTCTTCTTTTTAATATCCAAGTTGAGAGATTTTAACAATAAAAAGGTGACAAAGATGGAAACCTGAAGAAAAATTATCCAAAATACTTCATTCATCGTACATATGAAGGAACGTTCAGGGAAATAATATTCCTTCAGAAAGGTCACTACAAATGGAATTCATTCAAAAGAGCAATAATTAATTAAATATATAAATATACTTTGTATTTTAATTCAATGATAAATTAATTTTCTTCGAACAAAACTCTTAAAAATAATAAAGTTTACAGATAGAGGATTACAGTTGCTTGCTTTTTATAAGGAAATATAATCAAATATTTGAAAGTATTTTATACTACAAATAAGGAAATGCAGATCTTCGTGAAGACACTAACAGGGAAGACAATAGCGCTCGAGGTAGAGGCTAGCGACACTATTGATAACGTAAAGGCGAAGATCCAAGACAAGGAGGGTATTCCCCCAGACCAGCAGCGGCTGATTTTTGCAGGCAAACAGTTGGAGGAGGGTCGTACTCTCGCCGACTACAACATCCAAAAGGAATCCACACTGCATTTGGTGCTCCGTCTGCGTGGTGGCATGCAGATCTTCGTGAAGACGCTAACAGGGAAGACAATAGCGCTTGAGGTAGAGGCTAGCGACACTATTGATAACGTAAAGGCGAAGATCCAAGACAAGGAGGGTATTCCCCCAGACCAGCAGCGGCTGATTTTTGCAGGCAAACAGTTGGAAGAGGGTCGTACTCTCGCCGACTACAACATCCAAAAGGAATCCACACTGCATTTGGTGCTTCGCCTACGTGGCGGCTAAAAATCTATGTTTTATTTGCTTATTTGTATTTCAAACATCAATGTTTTTTTCCTCTAGTTTTCACCCAATTTTGTAATTAAAATTTAATCAATGAATATATTTAGTTTGTTTGTTTTTTAGTTTAGCAAAAAAATAATAATATATATATATATATATATATATAACCCTGTCCCAATACCCAGTCTATTGGTTTCCAGAACTTGTTTTGTTCAACTTTAACTCTTTCTACTCCCTCCCTCTTATTTCACCATATCAGTTTCTCTTATGAATCGTTTTATTGATTTATCCAAGGGTCCGGATTCACCAGTGGTATAAAATATCGGACACCCTCAATCCCCCTTTCTGTGGCATCATTACGACCTCCTTCCCCCCCTCTTTTAACACGCTTTCCTGAGCCATGGGTGGGTGCTGCTGTTTTCCCTTTTTCACCCTCCCCCCCCCCTCCCCAGGGGCCCCTCGCGCACCCTCCACGCGGCCCACCCCCTCGGCTTCGAGTTCGGTGCGACGCCACCGCTGTCGGCACTGCGGGGCGGAGCTGGAGGGGTGGTTTGTGGACGGCCATGAGGAGGCCTGCCGGGTGAACCACCTCCACGCCGCGCAGGCGTCCTCGCCGCGGCCGCCCAAATCCCTCCCCGAGGACGACTCCGACATCGAGGGCGTCGCCGAGGAGGAGCTTTGCATCATCTGCTTTCAACACCGCCGCTGTTTTGTGTTTTTGCCTTGCGGGCATATTATCTGTTGTGGGGCCTGCGCGCGGCGGCTGGACGCGTGCCCGATTTGCCTCGCCGCCCGCGTCGGGCTTTGCTACGTCCCCACAAACGTGATCCCACAGTACTATTGCGGGACTTGCGGGGAGTTCATTACGCCGACGCTTTTTGATGGGCACCGCGAGACATGCGCGTTGACTCGCCGTCGGGCGGAGGAGGACGGGGATAAGGCCGCGGCGGGTGTACCTCTTCCGCCTCCG